GCACTCTCCCAAACCACTGCATGTGCATGACTAAACAGGGCACACTACTTTCCTTTCCTGCTAGGTTTGTGCACCCCAAGTTTCAGCTTCGACCTCAAAAGACTTCTTTCTGCAAGTCACATTCAAAGACATTCAGACTACTTACTTGTTGGAGTTTGTTAATTATTTAATTAATTAATTTAGCACATTATTCACGTCAAGTATTTTACAGCTGCATTCAAGCTGCTCAGATCAATATTTTTATATTAACAGTAACAGTAAGAGTTTCCCTCAGCTCTACAGAACATTACGGTTTCTTAAAGCTCATTGTTTGGCCCGAAACTTTATTGTTTTGGTTCACTCTCACAGCTCTCATCAGCCCTGTTTCCAACAAAAACAGTCAGCTGTTTTCAATGAAAAAGCTCTGAAAAACCCAAAGGTCGCTATCTGCTCAGCACTTAACAGCAGACAGACACAGTTGGCAACTAGCTGGTGAAGAAAGTGGAGCATTTAGCAGCCAAAGAGCCAGATTCTTTTATCCGGACTTGGTTAAGACTAAAACAGAGCTAAAAGAAGAGTGAATATTTTACTTACATTTGTATTCATCAAGAAACACAGCTCTAAAATCAATGCTAATGTTGCTTAGATCTGTCACATTAATTATGTTATTGACTCATCATATGACATATACAATGATTAATTATCGCCTGTCATGATATCGACTTGTTTAAGAATGTCACCAACATTTTATCCAATATGATGCCAGAATAAACAACAGGGTTTTCCCTACTATGACTCTACTGTCTGCTGAGGATTGACTGACTCTACAGCTTACCCCTGTGCCAAATGTTTAATATTAATATAAGTGCAACCTTTGTTAACAGTCTAAGAGTCTATTTAATTTAATATGTTGGTTGTGTGGTTTTATTTATGTTTTATTTATCAAGGATATTTTCATATTTTTTCCACATTCCAATTCAAATGTCTGAATATGTACTTGCATTATTATGCTTACCATTATATCAGTGTGGCATGAAATAGTCTTTAAATTATAATAATATTATTTATCGCAGTTTTTTCTGGGACAATATATCATCCAACAAAAGCAATCATTGTGATGGGAACGTTGCTTTCTATCTGCTGGAAGTGTAAATAGGCAGCTGTGTGTTTGTTAAGTTTGCCTCACAGCTTTATAAGCTGATAATTTCACAATACTGTGTTTATAGCTTCTTGCGCTGCTTCCACTCGGCCAAAACAATTAGCTAATGCAGGTTTATGTCTTTTTTTTAAATTGTACTATACACATATAGACTCAGAAAGGCTAACATGCTAGCCAGTGAAAATGATCTTGTTACGCTAATGGCTAATGGTTCTTTTTTTAAGGCACTGTGAGATATGTATGTATTAATGGAGAACTGAATATATGGAAAAATGGCCATTAATTTGAACTTGATTTACTCTGTCAGCGTACGGCCAGAAAAGTTTTCTCTCCTTTTACTTTGCTTCTGCTTTGTGCAACTTAGGACACAATGTGTATTTCTCCTTGTCCCTTATGTCTCATACCATAGATAGACTTTACTTTTTCGAGATGTGCAAAGAAAACGCTTTTTCTGAGTCTAAGGAAGTTTTACAAATATTAAAAAGCAGAGAACATCAGTATAAACTGACCTTGTCTTCCGTTTTACAGTTTTTACAGACATGTTTTATAATGAACATCAATATAATGGATGTCCGTTATAAATCAGGTCTACTTTAAAGTTTGCCAGTCCTTTGCTTTGCTTTTCTATTTTATCATGGTTGTGGTCAGGGGTTAAGAAATGGATGCAATGAATGAGAGTCCGTAATCTACTATAAGTCAACTGTGAGTGTGTGTGAGTGAGTGTGTGTGTGTATCTATGTTTGTGTGTGAGAGGGGTTGGAGGTTAACGACTGTACGTTGGACCCCTCCTACTTCCTGCACCACCATCACATGACCCCCATGACTGTGATGATGTCTTAACTGTAGCAGTGATGTCATATTGATGGCGGTGATGTCACGGTATGCAGGTCATCTCTCTCTCTTTCTGTAGTTGGTGGATTGTGCTGTTTCTAATCCCTCATCTCTCTCTGCTCTCTTATGTCTCCCTCCTCCCCCTCCTCTCCTCTTTCCCCCTCTTTTCTATCTGTCTTTGTGCACTTCTCCTCCTCTCTTGCCTCCTGTTTTGTGCCCTCTCTTCCGTCTGTATCTTTAACTCTCCCCCACCTCCCTCTCCCCCCTCTGTGTCTTGTTTTCCCTCCATCAGGTGTCCCAATGACTATACGGGGGACCACTGTCAAAACTCCGTCATGGCCGGTTTCTACAGTATGTCCATTTGCTCTTGTCTGTCTCCTTCTCACTGAGATGCTGCATGCTACATTGGAGGGGTTGGATGGAGGGAGCGCTCTGTGTGTGTGTGTTTGCAAACCTGCTCTTATGTTTCATGTAAATTAGTGTGTGTGTGTGTGTGAGTTTGCATGACTCTGTGTCCACCCCTTCCTCTTCCTGTCTCCCCTGGTTCCTCTGTGATGCTCCTCTGGTCACCAGAAACAAACAATCAAGATATTTTTAATATTCACACATAAGATATTTTTCACACTTGCTCATCTGCTTGGAATCGTATTTGGTGCACGACATACTGGATTTTCTTGACCTAGAAAGCTGCTAAAAAAAACAATAAAAAAAAACAAAATTGACAAATCAAGCACCAAATATTATATATTATATATTTTTAAGGTCGATCCAGTGAGTTGCACAAAAAGAAACAGAGGAGACAGAAAATTGACACAATAAGCAATACAGGATTTGATTTTATTGGAACACTTTGTCACTTTTCCTTTGTAGATGGTCCATCGGTGCTACTAGCAGTAAAATAAAATTAATTAGCCGATCAAGGCTAAACTGTGTGGATAGAAACTCAGTCAATGCAAGGTTGTAAACCATAACTCCTTGCTGTTCCTCTCTTATAAACAAAGAGAAAAATCTTCCATTGATTTCACTTTTTAGGAGTAGGATCACAACTGGCAATTGAAGGCTTTAGATGGAGAACAATGTAAGTCCTTGTGACATTGTTTTGAACAGCTGCCAGTCATTACTAGAAGCTACAGTGTGTCCAAAAATCCAAATAATTTGGCAAGTAAATGAGAATGAGATTGAGAGTTAGAATATGTTCAACATTTCAAATCTTAATGTAATGAGATTTGATAAACATCACTCATGGTTGTATCTATCTGAGGGACAGTCCCTTTGGGATATTGATTTTCATTTAAATGGAGTTTCTTGATCATGTCAGTGGAATCTGTCCTGAAATAAGAGATTAGTTTAAAACCCACAGATAACCTGTTGTTTTCACTCTGAGCATCCATGGATCATCTGATTAAATCTCTCATTATGGCATGTGGCTAAATGCTGCTTGAAATGTTCTAGGGTTGACCTCTAATGGTGTCACATGTTTTGCTTCTTATCACAGTGTAATTAAATCCTGAGATTAGTTTGACATTTTTGTGAAATACGCTTATTGTTTGTGAAACAAACAGGAATCAGTTAGCTTAGCTTAGCATAAAAACAAAGGGAAACAACTAGCCTGGCTCTGTCCAAAGGAAACAAAGTCTACCTTCTAGCAGCAAAAGCTCACTGATTAACACATTATATCTAGTTTATTTAATTGTTACTAAATTGTAAATTTAAGCATAAAAAGGTTTTACTGGAGCTTATGTGCCAAACTTGTTTGTTCGCCAGGAACGTCTTGTTGTTAGCCTGAGGTTAGTTAGTGCTGGTAAGTGGATTTTTTTATATCGTTGGACAGAGACAGGCTAGCTTTGCCCCCTTGTTGTCCTTATGCTAAGCTAAGCCAACAGTCTCCTAGCTCTAGCTTCATTTTAATCCTTCAGACAGGGGAGTGTGTATCAATCTTCTCATCTAAATCTTAGCTGCAGCAAATACGCAGATTTTTCCAAAATGTCAAACTATTCCTTTAAATCACAGGGATGCAAATGTCTTGTCACTCTCCTGTGATTGCATGGGCAGTGACACTGAAACACATTCAGTCAGTATTGGTACAATCAGATGATAACCAGGACATGTGCATAAAAATTTTGCACTGCACAGAAGGTTAAGTGATTCCGGTATGTTGCTATGTTCAGATAGTAAAACACTGCTCCTCCCTCCACTGGCTGTGTCACGCTCCTGTTACTGACCCAGCAATCACAGGGAGATAAAAGAGAGGGATAAAAATGAACCTCTTCTTCTTGTTTCCAGGGGTTAAACACTCTTTGCTCCACGCCATGTTCTCTTGCTTTGCCGTTGAGCGGTCTGTTTCCACACTGAATAATGTCAAGTTTAAACCGAGAACAGGTTTTCCATCATAAGATATCACACTATATGTAATGTCTGCTTATTTTGACCCCATCATCAGGCTTTGTCTACATGCTGGAATCTGTCTGTGTGACTTTTATTTTGCATTGTGAAGCTCTTTCCGTCAGTTGAAGGAACACTTTCTGCTGTTTTAAATGCAGGTTGATTTGTTACTGCTTTTCTAGTGGTACGAACGTAAAGCAAAACGTCAAAATGTAGAGTAGTTAAGGTCAGGGTGGACAAAAGATTGGCCGACTTCTCGTTCTCTCTTTATGGCCAGTAATGCATGCAAAGCCATGTAAATTGGGAATGCTGCGATGATTTCTTTGTAAATCATAAGAAAGGTTATAATAGCTGTACGCAGCAGTAGTGGGACAAAGTGCTACACAAGAGGTATGCTGTAATCAGTACAAAGGCACACAATTGCCATTAGTCAAATGAGTTACAGCACCCACCCCCATTTGCTGTGCCAGCCTCATTGACTGTACTGTGTTTTTATGTTTGAGAGTAACTCACTGCTTTTTATCTTTTGTTTTGTTGTTTTTTTTCCTTTTGTCTTGTTTTTTTAAATTTTATTTTGTATTTCTGTCCAATGTTGTTTACTCCAGAAATGAGGTCTAGTAAATATAGCAGTAAGTGATGTGGCTTCTTGTCTTGCTGTCTTTGTCCGTCTGTCTCTGCATGCCTTTTCCTGCCTGTTGGCTTCTCTTTCCTTCTTGCCTTTGGTTCATTTTCTCCCTTCGCTTTTAAATTTTTGTTTAGTTCAGTCTTTTTTTTTTTCTTCTTTTTTTGCTCCTGTCATTTTCTGGGGGTCACAGAGCTGAGGCTGTCTGAGTTGTCTGTCTGTTACTGGACGGTACACATGTCAATCGCTATGGCTGACAGCACTAATTAATTTATATCCTGGTTCAGCGTATACAGGACATGAAAATAATATATCTGCTCCAAAGTGGACATTACACCTGACCCTATCTGTCTCTTTCCTTTTACCACGACAACTTTCTGCGCTGGCAGAGCTTCTCAGAATTGAATTTATGGGTATGGAACATTATTATTCATTTTGCTGTGCTTAAAGGGTTTGCCAAGATCCTCTCACAGTCACACATTATTGTGCCATCTTCTTTCTAAAACCAACAACTGGGTCTCCTTCAACCTGTCCCTCTTTTTCTCCTGCCCACTAACCTGCTTTTAAGACATGTAACCTCCCTTCTCTGCATGTATTCTTCTCACAGTCCGACGAATTTGGCAAAGTAGACATTAGAGAAAGAGACAAATTAACTGGGAAGGATACATTAATGAAATAAAGTGCAGAGGTGAATTAAAACACAATGTAATGGGCCTTATACGAATCAGAGTTGAGATTATCTGAGCAAAAGCTACCGTCTTTGTCCAAAAATCAGAGACTGTTTCACATCACCGATAAATACAAGTATCTGGCTCGTCTTCTGGGCTTTGGCAATGTGCATATTGGCTTCAGCAGCCTGTCGAATAAAAACATGCAAGCTGCGAGTATTTTTGCAGAGCGTTGCCAAAAGCGAGCAAAAGGCCTGACCACATAGTCTGTCCTTATTATTCTGCCCTTGATTGACTCAGTGTCAGAGTTGAGAGCTCGCCTGTCCTAAATCACGATTGCTGTTGGCTTCACTGTGCCAGCGAGCTCGCCTTCCCATTTCCCTTTGCCTTTCTGTATCAGTACCCTGTGACACACACACAATGCTGGGCCAAGGCTCTCGTAGGCTTTGTCAATCCCCACAGAGGCCCTTTATTTAGAAACTTCCCCCCCTTCCTTGCCCCCCACCCCCCTTTCCTTCCCCTTCAGTGGCGTGTCTAGAGCTTTTTGAGGGAGGGGAGAGGGGAAAAAGTGAGGTGATGAATTAGGTAAAGGGGACAGTTTTTGATTCATCTGCCCCTGTTTTAATTTGATTTCAGAAATGCTTTGAATAAATTCAGCTTTCTGATGTATTTCACCATATTTTCAACAACTTTCTTCTATAAAAAACACAGCTAGATACATAGACAGATCAACTATTGATTGCTTATAGGTGTCACTTTAGTTGTGTAACAGATTTATGACATTGAAAAACAATGACTGTCTTTAGGGACTTTAATTTGTCCGTAACTACCAATTCAAGGGCCTCTATAATCCAATTTTAGTTGATAAGGGGACAAAGTCAGGCCAGATTTTAGTTTCTGGGGACTGGTTTTTCCCTGGGCCTTTCTCCTAGACACGCTCCTGCTCCCCTCTCAGCTCCCCTCCTTTCCCTCTGTCTACGTGTTTCCTCCTGCTCCTCCTTTCTCACCACTTAGCCTTTTCTCTTTTTATTCCCTCCCTCTTCCCCTCATGTTCTGTTCTGTTTGTTGCTCCTTCTGTCATTGTGTCGTTGCGCTTGCCGTTCTAACACAGAGTGTTACACCACAGCAGGCCCAGAAGTCTGAATTAACCTAGATACACCAAGATGGCGTAGTATTCACACGGCATCACTACAAACCTGTTAGAACTTAATGAGTTGAATGTAGTGCAGTAGTAATGTGATCCAAATCTGTCTAGAGATGTTCTCAAAGGTGACATAAAAGTGCTGTAACCACCTTAACCCGGTAACCAACAAACGCTTGTAGAGTGAATATAGTAAACTGTATAGTACAAAGAAAAAAAAATACTTGCAATTTTGTGTAATTGTAGGTCAATTCAGTAGCTTTAAAAGGATAAGTTTATAGTCTTTTATGGTAGATTTTTCAGGAGCTTATCTGAAGCCAAAACAGCCTGTCAGCCTTAGAAATTATTACATAATATTAATGTAGAACTCCGAAACTTTGCACAAACAAAAAATTGTATGAAAACTTCAAACATCATTAAAACTAATACCATATGGATTACTATTTTCACCTATTATTCAAGCCAAGAAAAGTTAGTTATGGTCACATTTGTGCAAGTAAAACAACTTTTATTTAAGTCAACAACAGGAAACTAAAACAACTTGTAATAAAATTGGGATTAGATTTGATGACAAAAATATTGTTTATAATGTGAGAAACACCTCCTGGAATTCTTGTTTTTGCTGACCTCCACTGGTTTAACTTCTCAACTTCCTGCAGTGATGTAGAAGTGTACATTAGCACCTCATGACATCACTGCTGGGTGTGTTTCCAGGTGCAACCAACAGAGCACGTTTCTGACCGCACCTATAAGTGACAACCAGAGAGAGCAGCAAAACACTGCTTCTCAGGCTGGTGTTAAGTTAATGTTTCATTTAATAAACAAGCAAGGGTTAAAGATTAATGATGTAACCTCTATAATAATGAAAACCTCTCTCAAGGTAACAAGTTAAATTCTGTTGAAAAAGGTCACAACTTTCGAAATGCTTCTGTAAATACTCTTACATACAAAAAGTAAATAATTAAAGTATATATATTCCTTTTTAATTAATGTCAAAATAAAATAGTATTTCCTTTTACTCTTTTGACACTTGATCTTTGTGAATACCAAACCTTTATACTGTCAGGCCGCTGTGGTATTAACACTTTGACCAAAAAAATGCTTTATTTAATTTCTTCTTTTAACAATCCCATCCATACAGGCATGCATTCAGATCCTCTCCATTGTCATCTGTAGCATTACATCCCCATGGCCATTGTGAATACACTTGTACAGGGACAGGAGGAAGTCTATGTCAGGATGTAGGTGTACAGCTGCTTTTCATCATAACATTTATGAGCTTGTAGAATTACTCCTGTGTTGTAGTAGCACTGTGTTACTGTAGTACAGTTAAAACTGAAAGGCATGTGACATGATAGAGCAGGAGTTATTTTATAGACAGCACAGGGGATAGGATGACAGCATATAATAGTGAGAAACCTGTGTCTGTAGTTACCATCAATGGAGTAGCGCTCATGCTGTACCTGTGTGCGTGTGTGCGTGTGTGTGTGTGTGTGCATATTCTTGTCTGTTTTGCGATCGTCTGTCTGCAACGCACGGATGTGTGCGTGCATGTGAACTCGTGTGTGTTTGTATGTGTGTGTGTTTCCGTCCACAGAGGCCGAGGAGCTCTACCAGCGGCGGGTGCTGACGATCACAGGCATCTGTGTGGCGTTGTTGGTGGTTGGCATCGTTTGTGTGGTGGCCTACTGCAAAACCAAGTATGTGTCTTTTGAAGGAGAGATAAATGACCTAACCCTAACCCTTCAAATTAACCTACTGTAAGAATAATTAGTAATGGGCTGCTTCTTTTTTATGCTGTAGAGCAGTGGGGCAAGATGTATTCAGATCCTTTTTTTAAAGTATCAGCAAGGATGTTTAATTTTTTGTTGATTCTGGCGGTCCATGTGGACATTAGTGGTAGTGTTTCCACTGCCTCCTTTCATTGATTTCAAGGGGGGATCCAACCGAATCCAACCTGATGGTAGGCTTTAAGAATAACTATATTACAATTATAGCCAATCTTCTCACTGATGGTCTTGTGTGCATATATAGGTCACATAGGGGTCTTAGAAATAAATTAAGAGTTTCATAAAGAGTTAAAAACTCCTTGTAGTATATTACAGTATACAGTTAGTATTGAATAAAAGTAATGATACAACAATCTATATCAATACTCCATTACAATTAAAAGTCCTGCATTCAAAATCCTATTTAAATAAAAGTACAGAAGTATTATCATAAAAATGTGCTTAAAGTATCAAAAGTAAAAGTCTGTGTTCTGCTATATTATTATAAATGACATTATTAGATGTGTATCAGTGTTAAGCAGAATTTTCTTGTTGCACCTGGTCACGGTGGAGCCAGTTTTATTGACTTCATATACAGTGAGGTAGTCCCAAACCCAGGGGTCAGACCTCCTCCAAAGGGTCACAAAAAAATCTGAGGGGCGTTAAAAAACTATTTTACAGGGTGTAGGAAAACTTTTGTTTTGAATATACAGTAAACTAAATGAAATTGTTACTTTTAAACATTTGGTTATTATTCAAGATATAGATATTAAAATAACCCTTAATGTGTCACTTATTCAGGGGTTGTCTGTTTACTCAGTGGTTGAAAAGGTGTCCCTTAAGGAAAAATGTTGGGAATTAGAAGTTTAAAGTAACATTACATAAAAACACTACAAGTATCTCAGAGTTGGAACTATAGGACACTACTGCTGTAGGAAATAAATCAATACACTATACATTATACCAGATAAAAGTGTTTGCTTGCTTGTTTGATTATTGGTCGGTTGCTTCGTCAAGTTGGCCGCATGATCTAAAAAGACAGAATGGTCCAAATCAGTCACAACTTGATCAAGATAACTTAATAATTAATCAAAACTGCTCTTAAATATATTGTTGAATCCAGAATTTTGCTGGATCTGAGCAATTTATATTGAACACAACAGAAAAATAAGCAGATGCACTGTCTGAGGCACGTTTACCAGATCACTTATTGTTCCTTTGTCACCCCCCCTCCAGGAAGCAGAGGAAGAAGATGCACAGTCACCTACACCAGAACCAGAATCAGTGTGTGGAGCAACCCAACCGCATGCTGGCAAATGGACCCAACCACCCCGGACCTGGTCCCGAGGAGATCCCCATGGTTGACGTGAGTCCAAACAGCAGAAACACACACAGATTTAACTGAGTCACCTCCCGACAACCCTGCTGGTCACGCTGAGAAGAAACCCAACAGGTCGCCCCAGATTTTTTTTAAATGCAACCAAATTAACCAGATTGGATGTAAAAACAAGTTAGTAGTTAGTAATTTCATGGCAAGAGGCATACGTTTCTAATAATAATCTAATAATATATAGCTTTTATTTACTATAGATGCTAAGACGTTAAGCATAAAGTTGGTTGCCAGAGTTGCTGTGGTTGCCAAACTGTACCAGAGACATTTTTGGCAACTGTGATTTTGTTTTAGCTTCTGGTAGCCAACAATTAGAATAAGACAATGCAACAATAGCAATTAATTTACAGTCATCTGTTAGCTACCAGTCAGAACGCATAGAAGTCGTGTCCAACTTCGCTTTCCTATCAAATTACACAGGCTCTGCTGCAATAAAGCCAGATATATCAGTGCTTTTAATTAAATATAACTGGCCTATAAATAGGAATGTGGTGTCAAAATGTTCAGAATACTCTCAGATATTCATTAATGCTAAAGTAGGCACAGAAGAGGAAGAACAAGATGTCAGCTTCACCTGAACAAACTTCACAGGAAGCCCCACAGAGGCTCGGCCGGTTACTGATACACTTTATTTAGCTTTGCCACTTAGATTGAACTCCACAAAGACGGTTCTTTTAGCCTTCAGAGCAGGTTTGCCTCCAAAAGAGTCCTCTTGTAAATAAAACCCTAATCCGCTGACAACACGAGAAAACTATGGTGGCACATAGCTGACAGACGTTAAAGAGAGGGCAGAAAACACCTCCTATTCTCTCACATAATGGGCATGAGTCAGCATAATAGCAACAATGAGAACAGTGAGGAGAGAGTTACAACAGATCTGTATCCTCTCATCATTAGATATCTATATATCTATGCATTATCTATCTATATTTACTGTATGATATGTTTGTTATTTTGAAAATGAAAATGCATTTTTTGTTTACGTATGTGTGTGTGTGTTGCAGTACATCTCCAAGAGCGTCCCAACAACAGAGTGTGTGATCAGCCACGGAGCCGAGGGTGCAGGCAACTACGCAGGCAGTCGAATGTCTACCCGCTCCCACCACTCTACCACTGCCTCACATGCTTCCAGGTAGATCCTACGACACACACACGTGCAGAGGGGCGTGTATACATTTATATAGGATCAGTTTCAGTTGCTAACAGTTTTCATAGGGACTATTTTCTTTTGTAGAATGTTGCTCCAGTGAGGAGTGTTGGCAGTGAGGTATGTGGGTTATCCAGAGCATCTTTTGCAAAAAAAATCTGATTCCATTGAACTCCATTGTATCGGAGTGGCTGTAGAAATCTCAGAGACAGATATCACAAAACCTGGACAGCTAAGACGAATACTATCTGCATGAAACCATCAGGGTTAAGTAAGAAAATTGGATTTGGGTTACCCAAACCTTTAAAGGACCAGTGTGAAGGATTAAGTGGCATCTAGCATCAACATTTCGTTAACTAAAATGTTCATAATACGTTACATCTTGACCTGACGCCTTGCCTAAATATTTTGCTGAACATCAATAGCAGTGGCTACTAGTCTTGTGTCTGCGTAACTGGGCTGGTTATGGACTGCAAATCCATCCACCAACGCTGTTTCGGTAGAGTTGATCTGTGAAGGGAAATTAGCATTATAAGGTTCAAATACACCAATCAGCAGTTTCAGCAGTTTGAGCTACAGTAGCTCGTCTGTTGGATCGGACAACACGGGCCAGCCTTCGCTCCCCACGTGCATCAATAATTCTTGGCTGCATATGACCCTGTCGCCGGTTCACCTTTTTTTGATTTTCCATTTCTGCGACACTGTGGGCCTTAACACAAGTTTTCAAAAACTTCCAATAATTGTAATTTGACTTGTTGTCAGTATAGTTCAACTTGTTTTGAAATCTTTCTCGATATACTATAGCACATATTCCTCAAGTATCACAATAATATCAACTGAATCAAGAAGAGAATTTTATGCTGGACAGGTAGTGTACAATCAGATTGTGAGAGTTGGCTATTGACTGTTAATGGGATTGGTTGTACTAACAGCCCTGCCATGTCACAAACAGTGATTTAATTTAGTGTTTTCTATCAAAACTATCACTTGATGGTGCTTTAATAGACAATGCACGTGAACATCTTTGCAGTAGAGTAACTTTATACAGTATTCCTTCTGCCTCTGTATCCCTCTGCCTCCTCAGTGCTGTTGTAACCTTTTAAACGTCTTCTGCTTACACCTGCAGACACGAGGAGCAGACGTGGAGCATGGAGCGAACAGAGAGTATGAACTCAGACTGCCAGTCAGGTGGGCTGTCCAGCTCTGTGGGAACCAGTAAGTGCAGCAGCCCGGCATGCATGGCGAGGAGGGCCGCCCACTGGGGCTGTACGGATGTGTCCGGACCGGGAATGCAGTACGGGGATTCCTACGACTCTCTAAGAGACTCGCCTCACAGTGACAGGTAGGGCAGGTTGTAATCGTGTGTGTGTGATGGTTAAGTCTGTCTTTGTTCATGACTCTCTTTTGCTTTGTTTTTGACACACCAGCCTCTTTACTCTTTGGCGACCCCAAGTGGTAGTTAATTGTTTTACATTTCTCAATCTCTACAGAACTACATCACACAAATACTGTATTTTTTCTTTTTACTATTTCTTTGTGTGTTGTGGTAGTGAAGGTAATGAAATATTTCAACATCGTTGGTGAATTCTTTCTCAAAACATAGATTTTTGTTGATGTGTTTTTGTTGGTAAAGGAAAAATGATCTCTCTTAGTCTGTTACTGAACATCAGTCATTTATTTTTGCCTATTGTAAATAGCTTTGACTCCCAACTACTCTATTTTTTACTGTTTACCATTTAGTGGTTTCCTACATGTCCCAGAATGCCCTCTGACTAATAAACTGATTTGGTATACCTATATTTAGCTATGTTTGTTTTACCTGCGTACATTATAATAGCACAATTTCTTATACTGAACATGAATATTCTGTCTTTGTTTTTCACATTAAACAACATCTTAAGGAATGTGGTTAAAAAGGCATAATAAATATCAATAATTTTACTGCTAATGTGACTCTCAGTGTTTCAGAATTTGGGATCTCTGTTGTTGAAAAACCGTGCATTAACAATTAAATTAAACCAAATGCGAAGCAGCATTAATACACTCCTTGCAGCTGGGATGGCACATGTTCAGTTTTATTTTTCATATTCTTGGGACTGGCTGAGTGGGTGGCGAGGTGGCTCAGCAGTTAACACTGTCGTTTCATGGCAAAAAGGTCCTGCGTGCGAAACTCAGCCAGCTGGCTGCAGTGTTTCTGTGTGGAGCTTCCTCCCACAGTCCAAAGACTTGCAGGTCAGGTGAACTGGAAACACTAGATTGCCTGCAGGTGTGAGTGTGGTTGTTTGTTAATGTTTGTTAGCTCTGGGCTCTTCTTCTCATTTCTCTATTTTGTGCGACCTCGTCTCCTCTCTCCTCCGTCCTCCTGCCTGTGACCCAGAAATCGATGTCAGCGCACCATCTTGAAGGATGTCTCAATTCCTAAAATGCATCTTCAAGGAGACAGGAGGCTGGAAGGAGGAGCAATGAGCAAGGATGCGCAGGCGTATCCTTTGGGGACGTCGGCAATCGTCACATATAAAAAAGGCATAGGGACGGAGGATGCAGCTGTGCCATGCGTCATATTTAACTGGCATCGCTTTAAAATGACGGTTCAGAAACAAGGATGTATATTTTGTTAAAGTCCTCTTGCCTCGACTCCTCGTGGAACTCAGAAGCAAAGAGAGGATTCAAGGACGGAAATCGAGGACGTACAAACTGAGAAATGGGAAGAGGGGCCTGTAATTGACTGGTGGCTTGTCCAGGGTGTACCCCTCCTCTTGCCCAGTGCATGCTGGGTAGGCTCCAGCCCATCGGCCCTGAAGAGCAAACAGATGGATGGGATTCACTGGCAGAATGGCTTATACTGATTAGCTACAGTTATCAGTCCAAATCACAAAGTGCATCCCATCACCCGCTGTTGTGCCCCACTGACCGAATCAAAAATATGTACTGTAAGGTCACCTGCGATCCAACAACTGTACCTTAGTGCCACATCGAAATACATTGGAAACTTGTAGTTAAACAATAAACAGGATGCTAAACATAAATATATTGAGTTCATGAGTTTCCAACAACCTGCTTAGTGTATTCTGTTAACCAGACATAATCGTCTGTTACACTTATGTGTATAATAATAATGTGTGTTAGTTTTGGTGCTCCTTTTCTCATGAGCATATTTACATGCATGTGTGTGATTCAGACATTGTAATAATCCGCTGTCGTCTTTTCTGCTCAGGTATGTGTCGGCGCTGACTACACCAGCGCGCCTGTCTCCAGTGGAGTTCCACTACCCCCCGGTGCCGCCCCAGGTGCCCACCTTTCAGATCACCTCGCCCAACACAAGCCACGCCCTCTCCCTGCCCCCTGCCGCTGCCGCCTACCACAGAGAGGACGACCAGCCGCTGCTACGGTGCCCTGATGTACGTAGGAAAACAGAGTACATACATACTGTCATATGACTGCAGCAGCACAGAGATGGTGACAACATCAGTTAAACTGGCTGGTGATGTTTTCATTGTCAATGAAAAGACCAAAAACAGAAATGTGTGAATCCGTCCAAACCATGTATTCCTACTGAAGACGTAAATCTTTCAAAGTGGGTCACTTACCGTATATATATACTATAAGACTAAATAATTTACCAACAACAGCACTGTAGTTTTTAATTAATGTTACATAAGTAAATAGGGCTTTTGTTGGGGACTATTTTCAGCCACGGATTAATATATGCGTGGTGCTCCAGTAAGTATTTACAGCAGCAGGACAGTGTATTTGGGATCAACTCAAAATAAACTACAGTGCCCTTGTTCATCATAATGCAGAAACATATCACTAACAACACCAGTGTGGCTCACTCACAACAATGGCGTAGAGTTCATCAGGCTTTAGACAGACAATACTTGTTAGCAGGAT